TGCGATTTCCTTTAACTATTCGGGTACCAGATGAGTCACAGACATCTGGAATCTCCAGTCCAGATGAACAAAGAGCTGTGCTGACCTTGAAAATGAATTCTCTCAGCAGGTATGGATCCAGGGAAGCTCTTCGTGCATCTCCAGCCCCCTCACCCCTCAGACCCTCGGAGCCATCTGCCCAGTCTCCACGGGGATTGCCTGCCCAGAGGCTGCACAGGTGCTGCAGCAGTGTCCAGGGCAGGCTGCTGTCACCAGATCTGCTTGTTTTCTATGGAAAACACGTGGTGTCCCTTATTCCCCACTTCAGTGCCACTTCTGGATGTTGGCTCACGGCATGGACTCGATCAGCCCCTAGCTCCAGGCCGTATCTGTGGGGGACATTTTGTTTACTTACTGCTAGTAAAGCAAGCTCGGAGTCTGGTATTATTTCCTTTGTCACTGAAGTGGCTCTGGGCATGTCACTGACCAGAGACTTCAGCAGTGTTTTACAGAATTGATGTATGTACAGAAAAATAACAGAAAACAGAGCTGGAAGAGAGCTTTAAAAGTCCTTTACAAAAAGTTCTCTTTACAAACCAAAGCAACTCAGAGAAAACAATTCTTGAGTTCAATCTGGTTGCCCAAACTGATCTTCAAAACAGCCAGCGGAGAAGATTGTACAAGGAACTCACTCCAGTGCTATTTTTACCACAGTAATTGCTTTCCCTAGTTTGTAATTTAAATCTCCCTTACTCCTAAATAACCTTTCTGGTTTTTGATTATTTACAAGCATGGAAAAGAGTTTATTTTCCTCTTCCTTGCAGCAGTATTTTAGGTGACTCAAGTGTGCCCTCAAGTCTCCCATTTTTGTCATGCTAAGCTTTGAACAGGAACAGTAATTTGTTAAAATAATGTAAATATCTGTATTTACATAAATATATGTATTTAGCCAGTCACCTGGTCTGAATCACTTCATGATTATGCAAAATAATTTCATTACTACAGCATGGGAGTTAATTAACCTTGGGCTAATACTTAATTACTGCAATTAATTTCTACTACAACTAAGTTTTTTATAGTTTTTTATAGTTATTTTATAAGCTTATTTATATACTGATCTTAGAAACTGAATTTACCCTGCAGCCCAGCAGGCTTTATAAACTGAGTAGAATGGGGATTTGATGCCTTTTAAAAACCTGGGCTTCAGGCTTAAGCCCCTTGGAGTAAACAGGCTCTAAATACCCACATCCTACAGCTAATTTGAACAGCTTATCCGTAAGGTGCCTTCTATCAGAAAAAAATTCTAAAAATAAAAGTCCGTAGCATTTAAAATCTAACCATAATATTTCACAAACCTCTGCTTGTTTTTCCAACTTTCATGAGAAAAGTTGGATGGAAAAGTCAATGGGATATTGTGAAAGAGATACTTCTGTGAAAAAAATATTTGTTTTATCAATTGTAAAACCTTCAGTTTTGCTACTGAAATTTTTTCGACAACTTGGAAAGTTTCTGTATGAGGCTGCTTTTACCAGAAAGACAAGTGCTGATCGTAATTAAGCTTAGGACATAATTATCTTCATCTCTGCTGCATAATCACTGTGCTCCAGCCCCCCCATCACCACACCTGATCAATGCAGGACGTCTGAAAACTTAGAAAACCCCACAATATGCTAAAATAACATTTATCGGTCAATGCTGTTTGTTCTTGAAAGACTCAACCATTCCACTGCACAGACAGATTTCTAAATGCACATGGAAATAAGCAGCCTTAGGGCTTCTCTTCTCTGGAAGCTATGGAATAGAAATATGTCCCTCTTTTGAAGGGTGATGGCAGTTTATCCACGAAAACCTACGGCCCAAAAGAGTATTTTAAATACTTTGCTGTAAGTTACCCAACAGGAAATTATATTTTCCTTTTCCCATCGAATTCCATGCAGTGTCCAACAGAAGCAGATTTTCCTGAGGTGAATGGAGAACCTGTCTTACACAGAAGGTGAGCTCCTCCTGCACTGAGGAGATCTGCAGCCTCCTGGGAGCATTAGAACAGTGTGCTACCAAACAAGAAAATTCCCTATCCAAAAGGTCACATCTACCTAGGAAACAATGAGAACATCAAATTGCAATGTTAATTTATTAGAAATGACTAATGGAAATAGTGGGGGTTTTAAGAATGAAATTTTGCTGAGTTGATGGCAACATGAACTCAAGTTCACTGAGGTTGTCAATGAACTGAGTGTGAGCCTGGTGTGTGCTGCATCACCACAGGGGTGTCTGGACCAGAGCATGGAGGACAAGGTAAATTTTTGGTGTTTGGAGGTCCTGGCTTGATCCAGCCTCTCCAAATTAAATTATTATGTCATGTAAAAACCTCCAAATAATACTACTGCAATCATTTCCCCGCTTTGGGAATTGAACATTTTCCATCACCACCCCGACATGTCAACGTGAAGCAATCAAAAATTTGGAATCCTAGCAAGAAAAGCGGAATCTTTGTGCTGGGCAGGGAGGACTCTGGGAAGCAGTGACGTGAGGGTCCCCATGGCCTCTGTCCCTGATGACCCAGTTGTGCTGTGATTTATGTGGGCTCGCAGCTGCCCTTGCTCCGACCCCAGAGGAGCTGTGTGGGAAGTTGGTGTCTCGGAGCCGCGGCGTGGCTCTGCCGAGTGTCTGGAGCCCGGGCTGTGCACACAAACTGATAAATAGGGAAAGGCCTGCCCGGCTCCAGCTGCAGCAGAGCTGGGACCGGCGCTGCAGCCCCACGGAGCCGGCACAGCAGCTCCCTGCAAGCACCGTGAGTATTTCATTCCCTTCTCTGCATGCTCTGCTCAAGCCATACATCAATTTACCATGTGAAAATATTCCAGGCACTGGGCTTTTTTTCTTCTTTATCTCCTTTTTTCTTTCTTTTTAAACATCTGGCTAAATGAAAGCGGCGAACATGCACTTTTAAATCTGCTATTCTGCTGCCAAGGGTTTGTTCCAATAGTACTTCATTTGACACACAGAGTGAAGAAAAACAGCTTTTAAATTCAATTATTTATTTGCCTTCCCAAAAGTACCTGGAAAATTGTGAGTTTCAAACAACCTCTAACCTCTTATTTTACAATGTATAAAAATTATGCCTTTGAAATAATTATTCATGGAATAACAATTCTAAAGGAAAATTTCAAGATAATTGCAATGCAGTCTATTAGTGAAATAAGCTAGTTCCCATGATGATTATTATATGACCAGGAAGGAACACATTTAAAAAGAAGAAAAGTGGAATTTCTTTAAAAAGCAGCTTTTGGGAGCTTCTTGGCACATTAAAACCAAGAGGAACAGAAAAGCATTTAATAATGCATGTAAGCTGCATACAGGATCAATCAAGTTATCCTACAATCTCCCCTGCAAAATCATTCTTTAATTAAGCAGTGATTACTGAATTGCTTGAGTGAAATTGAATAGATCAGCTGGCATCACACCTACTTGGCACTGATTATGCTTAGTTACTTTTTTTTTTTTTCAATTTTTGGTTTAAATTTTCACAAATTAAAAAAAAAAAATAAGCTTTGCTTTCCGGCTGCAAGCAAAAGCACAGTGATTAAACCCGAGCCTGAAACGTGCTCTGAGTTCCACTGTGTGACCACTAGTGTGCCCCAAGGTGTGCTGAATAGATGGTGAAGACCTTCAGCTTGAGCTCCTAAAATTCCCTGTAAACAAGAAATTTCTCCATGACTCAACTGTCAAAATATTTACGATAGCAGCTAAAGCACTGCCAGTACCGACCTCAGGGCTCCCTGTGGCCCTGCTCCATGAAGGATGTTTTGTATCTCAATAAATTTGATAAGTTGATGATATGTTGCTTTATGATATGGGGTTTTATAGCAATAAAAATGATAAACCCCACATCTTTCACCATAAATAGAAATAAATAGATGTACAATTCAGATTCCAGTCTGAACGTGTACTTTCTATTTATGGTTCTACTTTACTTTTATCAATCAATGGCTTTTTTTTTTCTTTAGCAGATTCCATTTTTGATAAATTGTCAGGTCTTTCAGTTGGGACTAAGAACTAAATTTCTGCATGAGATGGATAACCAAGTCTTGAATCAACACATTCTGGTTTATACCGAGTGTTTGTAGTTCAGAAGATGAGCACTGGCAAAACTAAGCCTGTAAAAGCACATTTCAAACCTGAGTGTAGGTCACCTCTCCCAAAAACCACCATTCCCCTCACCTGGTCAGGACTTCACACATAAAAATGCCCACTAGAAGAAGGAAAAGCAGGAACATCATGCTTTATGCAGATAACATTTTCTGTCAGCTCAGTCTGTGTGACTGAAGGCTCCCACTCTATGTGTGTTACTGCTTGGGATGCTACTAAATAAGTCATTAAAAAATTCATCTTTTGTTCTCAGTTATTTCCACTTTTTAGGCTAAAGACCTTTATGCATCCTCTCTGGGGATGTATTTAGATTTTTGCTTCCTTTTAAAGCACTCATGCACAAACATGTGGTTATACTGGGAACACACAGAAAAAAGAAAAAGGAGCACAAAACATTTTGTTTTGGGAATGGCACAGCTGCAACTTCCCTAAACATCCAAACCTGTTGCTCCATCCTTATTCCAACTTTATTCCAGTTACTGTTTTGGACATTACACCTGAGCATGTCTGGTTCCTTCTGTCAGGAGCTTCACTGTGCTGGGCACGTGCAGAATTCCCTGGCCTGGCAAAGGGTTCATGAGTGTCTGTGTGGGCTGGGGAAGTGTCCTGCAGGTCAGGGCTCAGTCCCATGAGGTGTGAGGGGTTTGGGATGGCCACGGAGCCTTGGGGACAGCAGCACAGGGATGACAGAATCCCAGGGACCGCTGCACTTTGGAGGAGCCCTCCCTGCTGCTGCCTCACTCACCGGGGGGAGGCAAAGGTTGGAAAACACGACTCTCACAGTCAGCTCATGAAAAATCAAAACTTGCCTGGCCTAGGAAATGAAGTTCCTTCCTTACATATCTTATTATCTCCTTTCTTTTTTTGTTTTTCTTTTTTGCTTTAAAAAGCCCAGTGCTTTGCTTGATCAGGAGAATAAGCTTGTCAACACTAAATTCTCAAATGTCAGAAAATGAAACTCTTAATGTTTACACATAAGTCTCATTCTAAGACAGTAGAGCATTCCTCAGATAACCATTGGATTTACTATCCCTGCTGTGCTAACATCCTCTTAATTTATGATTTCAGTTTACAAAGCCTCAGTCTAAGCTGGAAATTTTGTGGGTGCAATTGGTTACTGCTATAGCCATAAAATCAGTAAGAAGGGCTGAATCCTTTCTCATACAATACCTAAGCTGAGGAAACTTTGCCTAAGGAAAAGCTGCTTTCAAGATTTAGAACGTTTAAGCAATTGACCACCTTACATTTGGTACTTCATGCTCCCAATATACTGTTTCTATTAGACTAGATCAGTGTAATTTTTTAAAAATCTACTATTCAATTATTACTCTTATTTAAGGAAACCACTGGAATTCAGAAACACATTTCTTCAGCAAACACACATTTTTGGGAAAAAATGTAGACTTTGCCCAGGCCAAATTGATCTAACTGATAAGACCTCATGATTCAGTGACTTATTTTGCTCTCAAACAAATATTTACTAGCAGAGATAACAAACCCCCAGCATTCCAGCCTCACTGCATCCTTTCACCTTCTGCTGACAGCATGAAGAGAAAGTGCTCAGCCCCAAAGCTCTGTCCTCAGTTTGGGGAAGGGATGTGTATTTTTCCAGACAGGACTTCAGATTCCCTGGGGTGATCCATTCATTGTCTCAGCTGCACAAAGTGCAGGTATAGCACAAACCCCTTCCTTCAGGGAAGGTCTTTAAATCCAACTTGTTGTAAAATCTGTAGAGAATCCTGTTGCAGGAGTTGGATTTGCTGTATTTTCCAAATCCTTCCACGCCTTTTTCATCTTTTCTATCCTTCCTGTCTGCTCAGGGAAAGCCTGTGAGTGGTTCACAGGCAAACTGTCTCTAACAGCCTTTGCTCAGTGGGCAGCAGGCTCAGCAAAGGTTTAACCTGTGGCCACATCCCACTCAGGCAGAGGGACAAGGGGGCAAGGAAAATATTCCTACTTATTCCTCCAATGGCTACTCTGTTAGCTCTCAATTCTAAGCAATACCAGAGGTTTACTGTAGGTGTGTAAACTCAAACCCAGCTTCTGCCACTGTCCATACAGACTTTTTTTCCCTTAAAACTCTTTTAAGAGTTTTTAGAGCATACTTTTTCACAACCTCTATCTAAATTTGAATTTATAAGTCAAATCACTGAAAAATGAGGTAAGTTTTGAACTCCAAGCACAGCAGCTCTTCTCACCATGTCACTGTGAGCTCTCAGTGCACTTTGTTATTGGAAATGTCAGTGAATCCAGCCAGGAGCCCAGGCTCCTTCAATGACCAAGGGGCAGTGGAAAACTCTTTAGAGGCAGCACATCCTATAGGAAATCAATATTTTGGTCTTCACTAAAAACTTTATACTGCTAAAGGAACACAGGAAGTGTAATTCAGGCAGTGCTTAAGCAAGACAAAGTTGAGTTTTACTGCATAAATGAGTACTTACATGATGAAGAACAGATATTCCATGCTGGCCTTTTCATGCTATTTTCCTTGCTTCAACTCTGCATAAAAAATGAGTAAAATAAACTCATTAAAAGCCCATTTTTTGTGCACAAACAGGATAGCCCCATACTACACTAAAGCAAATGCTCCTATTTTTTATGCCCAAAGTTTATTCTATCCAGTGAGGCTCTTTTTAACCTTCTCTGGACTAGAGAATTTACCAGTGATTAGGCCAATACCCCCACTTGATTTTGTGTAAAACTCAGAGCAAAACATTTCTAACTATAACTTGGAAATTTAGGGAAGAGTTTTACCCTGAATCTGTAATATCAGGACACTCAAACAGTTTGTAGCCTCGTTGAGGTTGTTATGTGACTTCACACAGACATCTGATTTTTTTATGATCTGAAAACTCTGGAGTTTTCTGGCTCCTTGTCTAACCCTACCCAGCAATTCTTTCCCATGGGACGTTTCTCTTCCTTTCCCCTTTCCCCAGGTTGCTGTTTCAAGGCTGCTGTCACAGAGTGGATGAAGCAGTGCAGCTGGGAGCAGAGCATGGCCAACACCTTTGTCACCGTCCCTGACGGGTACGGCCTCCCCGAGCCCATGCAGTACTACGGTGAGTAAAGCAAGTTTGGAACTCTGGAAATGCTGCAAAATTAACTCCTCTGGGAATTTATTTTCTTCTTTTTTTTTTTTTTTTTAATTTATTTTAATTTATCTTTAAAGCACTTGAAAGCTCTTACCAAGCTCGTATTGAAAGTGTATTGAAATCGATGGCTGTGTGCTCATACAGACTTTTGAGCACAATGTGATTATTCTGACTTTTATTCCATATAAACATCCCCAGTGCTGTCTCCCTTTGACCTGCATGGAGAAGATACAGGTTTTATTACAGTATTCCAGATACATTATAAATAGATAATGCCTGTTTTATTATCTTATGTAGCTATAATTGCAATAACTAATTTTATTCTGGAAGACTAAAGGCAGGATCCAAAACCCACTAAAAGGGAAAAAACCTCCAAACTGTTTTAAAAAAACCTTTCCAATTTGTTTTTATAGAGATTTTAATAATCCCAAAGGAAGAATGAAACATGATGCATGTTGCACAGGCTTTCTTTGGTATAGCTGTCTGTATTTAAGGGAGGCTGGATAAAATTAAAACTCAACATACAGAAAAGCATGAAGAAACTCTGTAATTCTGTACCTACATTTTACTGAACTCAAATCTCAAAACTGTAAAGATACATGTGTGGGAAAATACTAAATAAAACAAGTCTCTGCTTTTTACTCCTCTAAAGTTCAACTTTAAGACTCCTGTCACAGTAATTTTTAGTACTCTCTGATTTCTACACAGCTTTTCTCAGACCCCTGTGCAACATTTTCAAAATAATACCTGAGACATGTACCAGTAATAAACACTTCAATCATTAAAAAATTCACTTATGAAAGATACTTGACTGTAGTGTGGACAACTAATAAAAACAACCTTTAAGTGTAAGATCTGAAGGCAGCTGTGCCATCAATTGGCAAGTGATCTTCAATTATCTACTAACACTAGCCCACACGATATTGCTCAAACCATTACTGAGCCATTTTTGCTACATTTAAGATTTCACTGAAGAACATTACACGTTTAAACTTAAATAGAATGTGTCTGATTGCCCCTCTGAAATGTGTTCCTCTAATATTTATGCTTCTAAATCCATCAAACATTTTTAAACTCCGGAGCAGCTGATGTCGAGATATTCTCCAGTCCTTTACTTTGCTTTCGATTTCCCCCGGCACAGATGTTTTACCAGAGCACATCAACTACCAGCTGCAGGACCCGGATTTCCAGGCTGCCCCGTACTGCCAGTACTCAGCAGTGCCAGTGCCAGTGCCAGTGCCAGCCCTGCAGCCCCAGCCTGCGCCGTCCCCGTCCCCGTACGGCCCCTACAGCCTGGAGCCCCCGTACAGCGACGGGCCCTGCGTCGGCAGCAGCTGCGAGCTCAGCAAGGGCCCCTTCCTGGCTCCCCATGGAGAGGATGGGGGGTTCCAGGGGCTCAAGAGGCCCAGGCTGAACCACTCGGTGAGGCTGAAGGGGCAGGAGGAGCTGTGTGTGGTGTGTGGGGACAAGGCCTCGGGCTACCACTACAACGCCCTGACCTGCGAGGGCTGCAAAGGTGAGCGAGGACACGGGGCCTCCGTGCAGCCTTCCACAGATCTGCCTGGGGTTTGAGCTGGTCTTATTCCAGTGGCTTCTAATTTATCTAATTAGCCCACTATCTAACACACTTAGTCCAAATTCACATTTTTACAGCATTCTTTGAAGAAACATCATCACAGTCCATGTTTAATATGAGCACTTTCAGCATCTCATTTTTGCTTTGATGACTTGTTAGAACAGTGTCAGTTTAAGCAGATACTGGTTTTCTCATGAACATTTCTTAGAGATTTACTTCAGTGTTATTAATTTCATTTACTATTAAAATTGAATAAAAGAAAGTAGTAATTACTTGCTAGTCATATTTTAACTTGTTGGTATTTAACTTGTTGGGAGCTGTCTCATGAGGGGCAGCTCTGATCTCTGTTCCCTGTGACCAGGCACAGGACCCAAGGGAGCAGCTGGAGCTGTAGTGGGGGTGTTTAGGTGGGAGAGCAGGGAAGATTCTTCCCCCAGAGGGCACTGCCCAGGCTCCCCAGGGAGTGGGCACAGCCCCGAGGCTGCCAGAGCTCCAGGAGAGTCTGGGCACCGCTCTCAGGTGTGCCCAGGGTGGGATTTGGGGGCGTCTGCAGGCCCAGGGGATGGACTTGGTGATCTTTGTGGGTCCCTTGCAAATCAGCATATTCTATGATTCTATGTATGGAAAATGTCAATTAACACCAGTCATAAAGAACCAGGCATAACTATATCTTTAAAAAGCAGTTTTGAAATCAAGGTAATATTTCCATTTAAACATCCCAACCATTCAAACCCGGAGGACACTTTTAAATCCCTGTGAGACAAAGCTCCTGCGATTGCTGCAGCCATCCCCTGCTCCCTTTCCCAGGCTTCTTCCGGCGCAGCATCACCAAGAACGCCGTGTACCGCTGCAAGAGCGGGGGGCACTGCGAGATGGACATGTACATGAGGAGGAAGTGCCAGGAGTGCCGCCTCAAGAAGTGCAGAGCTGTGGGAATGCTGGCAGAATGTGAGTGCTCCTTCATGCTGGGTTCTTTCCTAATCACCGTGGATAAAACCTTCTCCAAAGTTCACCCCTGTAGGCTGTTGGCGGGGGGGGTCTGTGGAGATCCAATGGTCCAACCTGGGAAGCTGCCAACCTTCCCAGAGAGAGGGTCCCACAAGGGGCTGCCTTCCAGGGGGGGTCTCTGGCAGATCTCTGGTGCTGGATAAACCTCAGCAAGCTGTGGCCTGTGGCCACAAGTGATCAGCCCTCAGTGAGATCAGCTCAGTGATTTCAGCTCTGCTTGCGAGGCCATTCCAGGTGAACTCGGGGACAGAGAGACAGAAGTGTCACATGGCAATTCCACTGAGATTCCTTTATTATCCAGCAGCTCTGTGAAGGGCGCCAGGGATGACAGCTCCCCTGAGAACTGGGGGGAAAACTGGGGTTTTTATGGGGGAAAGCAAGGGTGGTACCAAGGGGAAAGAGCAATGGGTTACAAAGGATTACCATGGGTAGCAGGGCATGGTGGGATCACTGAAACCTTTGGGATTCCTCACCATAAGGGAGGATGTGCCCACCTAAGGGGCATCTCTGCAGGACAGTTGAGATAAACTAATCACAGCCCATTCAAGGGAGATCCCATTCCAGGGTCATCTGTCCAGTTCAGGGCTGCAGGCAGAGTTGTGCCAGGCCCAGGCCCAGGCCCATTGGCCTCCACAAATCCCTTCCTGATGATACTGGTCTAAGCTTCAATTGGCTGTAGGAAAATTGACTTTGGAGATGGTGGCATCTGCAGCATCTTGGTGTGCAGGAGCCAGCAATGCTTGGGAAGTATCCCCTCACCTTGAGAGAACTGTTGTTCAAAAGACAGTACAAGAGAAAAAAGGAGAAGTACTACCAAGAGCAGCTAAATATTCTGAGCCTTGTCAGGACAGCAATGAGCAGATCAGATGAGCTTTAGGGTTTGAGGGAGAAAAGTTAAATAAAAATGACGTGATGGGCTTTGATGAAAGATTCTGATGCCTGTGTGTCACAGAGCCACAAGGACAAAGGTGACTGCAGACCCTCAGGCCTTTGGTGGCTACTGAACACCAGCTCACCTGATAAGTAACACACGGCCACATTCACCAACAAACATAGTTCATTATAGGTGACAGCTTCTGTGATGCAAGACTGGAGTTATCTCTAACAAATTATGACTTCAGACAGTAATTAATTGAATACACAAGCACTGATGGCCACTTCACACCTCACAGGTTTGCTGACTGAAGTCCAGTGCAAGTCAAAGCGACTCAGGAAGAATTTCAAGCAGAAGAGCAGTTTCCTTTGCAATATAAAGCTGGAAGATGAGGGACTGAATAGTAAGCAAGTATCATCTACAACAAGATCTGGAAAAGTGGGATATTTTTCTATTTAAAATACCTCTTTTTATCACTTATTCTTACTCCAAGTCGTTGTGACTTGACTGGTTTATTTTTTTAGCAGATCCCAGAGAAGATGGAACTTACTCCAGGAGAACATCAGCTTCTTGACCACATTGTAGCAGCACACCAAAAATACACAATTCCCCTTGAGGAAGCCAAGAAGTTTGTAGGTATCCAGCACACCCAGCCTGCATTGCTAAGTCATTGTTGTCGAGTATCTTGGCCATATCCAGTGTCCAAACACTCTTTTGTGCAGCTACAGGAAACTGCAAGTCCTGAGGAAAGTTTTCTCCGCCTGTCTGAGACAGCTGTTGTTCACGTCCAGGTGTTGGTGGATTTCACAAAAAGACTGCCAGGTGAGTTTCCTCCTTTGGGGAACATTAGAGGAATCAAATCAAAATGATGGTGTGAACCAGAGAAAAATACAGGCTCTAAGAAAAGGCTTTAAACTGATTCTTTGTACTTCTAACTTGCCACTTGCTTATCATGAGAACAACCTAGAAGCTTTCAGTTCAAAACTTTGCTATTATTGGATTTCTTCTCCATTTCTGACATGGACTAGAGGCATTTTCTGGAAGCACGTGGACCCCAAAATACCACCTTGAGGGAATTACTATCTCACCACATTCTCTGAAATCCAATTGAGTCTGATTTATCATTATCACCGAAGGAAAAAACAGATGTTCCTTCAAAGGAAAAGGCAGCACAAGAGGGACTATCCAGGTGTTCTTATTCATATCTTCCTTTCATAAAGAACAAGGGAACATGCAATTAAATTCACTGCATTTCAGTGTAAAGTTGACAAAGTAACATTTGACAGGGAGGGTGATAATTTTTCTTTGTAAAACTCACTGACAAAGGTCAATCACCATATGTAAAGCAGGTATTTGGTACAATTTTAGCATCTCTGTGGGGCAGAGCTGAAGGAAGGGGTGAGCTGTCTGTTTTCTTGTGTTACATATCCTGCTTTGATCAGGTTTAAGAAAAAAAAATCACTAAAGTTCCTTTGTTCTTGAATTACAAGTGCAGACAATGAGCTTGTCAAAAGATGAACACGATTTCTAAAAAGAAAATAATACAACAATCAATGGAGTATCCACAGTCACTAAACAATGCAACAAATTTATCAGGTGTTAGGCCATGTGATAGTTATCAGATATTAGGAAGAGTGTTTTGATAACATCTTGCTTAGTCCCAAAATTTTTACTTGTATCTTCCTGTGAATCTTTTAACAATGAAAACTACCCCCTCCTTTTTCCTCTTTTTCTTTTTTTGTCTTTTCAATTGTATAACCTGCAAACTAGCAAGAAAGATCCCAAGTCTTCAGCACATGCATCATTTAAATATGGCTCCTCCTTTCCAGTAAAGGCATTTATTAAAAAAAAAATAATTTTCCACATCATGTTGGGAGCTTAAAGGCAGCCTCAGCCTTCCCTGATTCTGAACATGCACCTTTCTCTGCAGGGTTTGAGAGTTTAGCCAGTGAGGACCAGATTGCTCTGCTGAAAGGCTCCACAGTGGAGGCGATGTTCTTGAGATCAGCCCAAATTTACAACCAAAAAATGAGCGAGTGCCAGCCTTCAACCAGTGAAAGTAGGTCTGAAATACTTGATTTGCATCGTTGTGGGGTGGGTGGATAATATCAGCTATATTAATTACATATTGTGCTAAATTTAACACAAGAGACCTTGACCAATAAAAACACAACCAAAGAACTTGGAGCTAGATTCCAAAAAGGGTTTTATACCTTTTTCTGGGAAAAATTCACACATTTTCAGCAATGATACAGACAAATATTTAAGATCACTTTAAGCTTGACTGGGAACTGTCATCTGCCTTGTTCCAGGTCATGTAAGACTTTCTGATCACGGGACATGTTGTCATGTTCAAAACCTTGATAAAAACAATATTTATTCCATGGAAATGTGTCATAATAAAGAGAGGCCAACTTCTACTACTACCACAGGTAATGGAGGTCTCAGAATCTAAATACTGTGAATCTTTTACTTTACTGGCCTTATTTTTATTACACCTATTTTTATTACATTATTATATACACTGTCACTATGGCCACTGCTCCAGCTCCTTTCCACTCTTCTTCCTCTCCTCTCCCTTTCCTTCTCCTCTCCCTCTCCCTCGAGCTGCTCTGGCATTACCTCCTCAGCTATTACACACTGGCATTACATCCTCCTGGCAGGAGGAGGTGTGTTCATGCTTGCTTATATCCCTTGAGTTATGTATCCATTCAAAGCTCCACTGTACAACTGCCACACAACTTCTGTTATTATTTTGGAAATTAACATTGTTTTCATGAAGTTAGTTAACTATTTCATGCAGTGGAACAGCCCCGAGCCTTAAAAGGTTCACTGACTCACAGAATTACAAAATCACAGAATGGGTGAGGTTGGAAGGGACCACAGTGGGTCACCTGGTGCCACCTCCCTGTGCCAGCAGGGCCATCACAGAGCACATGGCACAGGATTGTGTCCAGAGGGTTCTGGAGTATCTCCAACGAGGGAGACTCCACACCTTTTCTGGGCAATCTGTTCCTTCACAAGAAAGAATTTCTTCCTCACGTTCAGGTGGAAGTTCCTGAGCATCAGTTCCTGCCCGTTCCTCGCTGGTCCCTGCTCAGAGCCCTCCCTGCAGAAGGGACACCCAGGGCTGAGGGTCCCTCTCAGCTGGGGCTCCTCTCCAGGCTGAGCAGCCCCAGCTCCCTCAGCCTTTCACAGAATCATGGAATCACTTAGCTTGGAAAAGCCCTCTAAGATCATGGAGTCCTCGTAGGAGAGGTGCCCTGGTCCCCTCACGCCCCCCACAGCCCGGCCGGGCCTGCTCCAGGAGCTCCGTGTGCCTTGTCCCGGGCAGCCCCGAGCCGGACACAGAGATCCGGATGGATCCAGGCAGGGTCACCTCACTCCCTTCAGGCAAAGATGATTTGCGGCAGTTTGTGCACTGAAATAACACCCTCATTATTCTGCACGTTTGTTGTGGTATTTTTTTTAACCAAAAAAATGTTGATTTTTTTTTCCATTTTCAAGGCATAACTGAGGAGTTCATCACCGCCCTGTTCTACTTCTACAGAACCATGGGGGAACTCAAAGTGACCGAGACCGAATACGCTCTGCTCGTAGCAACAACAGTGTTCTTTTCAGGTAAGCCGGGAAGGTGACAACGAGCTGTCACTTGCCCCGGGGCAGCTCCCATTTGTCCCCTCAGGGGCGGCGGCGCCGACCGGACCCTGAGGGGCGGCGGCGCCCGGAGGGATCATGCCGCTCACCGCGCTGTCCGCGCCGCCGCTCTCCCGCAGACCGCCCGCTGCTGAGGGACAAGCGCCATGTGGAGGAGCTGCAGGAGCCGCTGCTGGGGATCCTGTACAAGCACTCGAAGCTGCAGCACCCGCGGGACCCGCAGCGCTTCGCGCGGCTGCTGGGGCGCCTCACGGAGCTGCGCTCGCTCCGCCACGCCCACGCGGGGGCGCTGCGCGCGCGGGACGCGCGCCTGGCCGCGCCGCTGCGCGACCTGTGGGACCTCCACTAGGGGGCGCCAACGCCGCCGGCCCGCGCGCCCCTTCCCGCCTCGGGTGCGCGCCGTCGTTTCCCGCCCTTTTCGCCCTCCCTCAGCGGCCATCGTGAGGCGCCGGTGCCGCCGTCGGTGTCGCTGCCGGTGTAGGTGGCGGCGGCGGCGGCGATGTCGCTGTCGGTACAAGTGTTGGTGTCGGTACCAGTCTCCGTGCTGGTGCCGGTATCGGTTTGGGTGCCACACTCAGTGCCGGTGCCAGTGCTGGTGCCGGTGTCAGTTCTGGTGCCGGTGCCAGTGCAGGTGCTGGTTGTTGCTGCTGATGTCAGTGTCGGTGTCGGTACCAGTGTTGGTATTGCTGCCAGTGTTGGTGTTCCTACCAGAGTTGGTGCTGGTATCGGTACCGGCGGTGATGTTGGTGTCGGTGCCGGTGTCACCGCTTTTCTCCGGGCCTACCCAGAATAGCCCGGTTCAGGCCGCGCCGGGCAGGGCCCGCGGCCGAAGCCGGCCAGCGCTCGGGCACGGCTGTGTCGGGGCAATGGTGGCACCGGGCGGCCCTCGGCTGCGCTGGAACGGACGGGGGGACACCGGCAGGGACACGGGGACACTGCCGGGAGCCCCCGGGGGGAGTCCTGAGCCGAGCACATCCCGCCCGGTCCCAGGAAGTGACCAAGGCCAGGCTGGGCCGGACTTGGAGCAAGCTGGGATAGTGGAAGGTGTCCCTGCCCATGGCAGGGGGCGGCACAGGATCAGCTTCAAGATCCCTTCGAACCGAACCCAATCCACGGTTTTGTGTGTAAGTGAAATTTGCTGAACTCATTTCTCTGCAGACTGCCAAGATTGGTGCTGGAGGAACATCTTTGACTTTAATTTCAAAGACTTCTGCTGTTATCCTCTATCCAGACTGAAGGAAATCATCTTCTCGATCATCTGCTCTGTGTTGTAACTGCACATCACCGATTATAAAGCCACGTTTGGTGTGGGTGATCCAGCAGTGAGCAGTGCCCCACTTGGATGTTTGTACTGGCAAGTCCTCCTTACACCAGACCAAATCTGCAGTGAAAACGTTCTGTCACCACACTGAGTTATGTGAATTAAACAAATTATTGTTTCCTGTTGAGGTTCCTTACAGAATATGTTTAGATTCAAATGTGCTATTCTGACAGGAGATCAGTTACACTATCCTATTTTTTTGTGACTTGAAAACCCTTTAAAATGGCATTTTCATAGTAAAACATGGTCAGATGTGGGAGTAAAGAAAAAATAAATATCAACGACTGGACTTTAAAGAAATAATTTTGCTTCCTGAATCCTTTGTCATGCACCTATGCACAGACAGGCAGCAGCTCATGAGTTCTCATCAAAACCTTCCACTCTGCCACAGCCTATAAAGCAAACTACAAAACACCAGTGGTTTGAAAAGCCACTGTGAAGTAGGAAGCAAGTGAGCTCCAAAGCCATTACCAATTTTGGTAATTTTGAAAACTGCAGGCAATTAATTTATTAATTAAAAATAATATTTTCACATTAGTTTTACCTTTTTTTTTTTCTTCTGGATTTTATAATTTTATCCTTCTTTAAAAATCTACCCATAGGAAACTAACTCTTAAGTTTGTGCACGGGTTTAACAAATGTCCAGGTGATGATTTTAATTTGCCATTCAGTCCCTCTACTCTGGCAAAATCACTGATTCACATAAAACTAAAACAAATTTTACCTTGCACATTCTTTAATATTTTTTAATACTGTCGAGTTTTAATATTCATGAGTAATCTAACAGTTTTGTAGCTGTAAATATTAAATACAGTTTCACTTTTTTTTAAAAAATATGATCAAAATCACTTCATAGTTGAGATATGATTTCACAGCGAGTTAGAGTTTGCTCAAAAGCAGATGAAGAAGTCAGCTACACATCAACTCTGCTTATCTAAAGACTTAGGGCCTCTTAAGTTGTTCAGAAACAGTTCCTAAAGCATTATTCAGTGGATATTTCAAGGCTAAATAAGAAGGCAAAGGGCAATAATAATTCTCTGTTTCCTGTTTACAGCTGAATTACTTAGAAGAGATATTTGTGATTCAGGGAACATGCTTAGAGACAAACCTTTAAAAATTACGTTGATTCCAAGTTTGTTAGTTGGGGGGATTGGGGGTTTTTTGGGATGGGGAGGGTTTTGTTTTGTGTGTTTGTTTTGTTTGGGGTTTTTTTGTTTGTCTTTTAAAGTGCCTGGGAAGTCTGTAAGTTTTAATCAGAATAAGATTTAGGCACTTTTTTTTCACTTTGTGAAACTGGTTCTGAATAGTCTGTTGAAAGGTAGAAGGAATGAAGTTGAAGTATTATTTGGAAAAATGAAATAGATTATCCCAGTTGCACTGTTTGGCTTTATGTTTTCTATAAACAATGAATTTAGTGGAGTGGTTTCCTCAAGAATTTAATTCTTCTCAGTCTTCACCAACATTTTTCTGCTTCAGTACAACTCAGCAAAGCTCATTTTTTTCAGTAGCTTCTGTTCTTCCCAGATACAAAACACTGTTTGCTACTACAAAATGGAACTTATTTCTTGCCATTCTCCTACCGATTTTCATATCCCTGAGGACTAAACTTCTTTTAGTCCTGGCAGCTCCTAAAGTGCAGCCAGGACTGCAGCAATTCTGGGCTGCAGCCAAGCCAAGGGTGTGCTGGGGGACAGCACACCTGAACCAAGGTGCTGCCCTTACCTGCCCCAGCCCTGCCTGTGCCACAGCCTTGGGATGCTGATTTTGGTGCAGTGCACTGAGCCCTGTCTTTAAACCCATCTCTCTGCTGATGCCTGAGGAATGAGGGATTTTTCACTTTTGTTTGTCTCCTCCTTGTCCTGCAATGTCTGTGAATGCAGACACAGAGCTCAAGATTTAAACTCTGGTTCCTAATCAGGTACATAAGCTTGTGTCACTCTCTGTGGAAAAGAATTTACTCATGTGATGTTTCTAAGAAATAAATAGGTATTTATAACATTATTAATGAAATAGCATTTGGGATTAAATTGTGGAACTTGTTTTAATAGAGTATAGAAACAATGAATGAATTGTACTCAAAACTCTACAAAGAGACTGAAAAGATCAAGCAGTGGAAACAGATCTAAACCAGAAAGTGCAAGAAAATAGAAAGGTTAATGAAGAACAACATAAAGCCATTCAAGAACTGCAGGCCAGGATTGTACAATATACATTGAATGGTGAAGTAAAGAGAAAATGCTTCTTGATTTATCATGACAATATTACTAATACAATTAAAGCATGTTGCATATTGATTTTTGCATTGAGAAAATAGTTATTCTGAGCAGGGGTGTGCACCTGTCCTGTGTGAATGTGTGGATAAGAACTTGTAAGTGTTTCAGTGGCTGTAAATTATTTCTTTTTATTCTGCCTTTCCTGCAAAAGATGACTCAGCATGCAATACCAGTTAAATAGACTTCTGTCTGCTGATACCCAAAATTACATTTTCATGTGGGATTTGAGAAGTCAAAGTGTATTTCTAATATATTTTTTAATAATGATGTGGTTTCCTATTTGTTCCCTTTGAAATTAGTTTGAAAATGAAAAACTCGGTTTAAAACTGGAAGATGAGATGTGTGAAAAGAGAGATCTCTAGAAAGAGTAAGTAATATAATTTTTTTTTTTGTGAAACAGTTTTTGTGCTGAGAACTGTGCTGGTGTGAACAGGTACGTTTAAATGTTAAATTGTAAAGGTCATTACATTGTTAATCCTCAAGCCCACAAAGTTTGTGCATTCCTGTGACACATTATGAGGTTTTTCTCTCTTTTAGAAGCACCACTTTAAGATTTCAAGAAAACCTGTAATCACCTCACAGAGAAGTCCAGCAGATGTAAATGCTCTTTAATTCTGCTTTTAATTCTGTTGGAATTTGTTTTGATTCTGGAGAACTTTCCCAGGACTTGATCAATATTTGGCTAGGACCAACCACCTTATTTAACTTCAATGTCTGCTTATCAGACACAGGGACTAATTAAAGTAGAATCTGTCCTTTTCCCTTCATTATAATATTATTCTCATTCTGTTAGATTTCAGCTCTGACCATAAAGAGTGATGAAAAAGATGATTTTATAGGAGACATCAAGGCCCAACTGCAGGACTCACAAAATCAGTTTGCTGACTTAATAGAATCAAAAAGTAAGAGTTTGCTTTGCTATAGTAAAATGTAATTGTTTATAGAGTTAAAGAAAACAGGATCATGATAATTTTACTTTGTTACTAGTCAGCAGCAGAATTTAGGGGCGTTGCAGGCCCAAAATGATGTGGGATCAGGACTGGCAGGGTAATTTTTAGGACAAGTCAACCAGCGAGAACTTTTGAAGATTACAAGAAGAAAAGACATTACTTGAGTTTTTCACACTTACAGTCAGGTTCCACTGAGGAAATTTACTTTTCAGAACCTGATTTTCAATATTTTAAGCAATTTATACTAAAAATATTTACCGAATATAATGCAAATTCATTTGATTTTTGTTAAAATCTCTATATGTAATATTACATTTTAGTAGCATTTTTTAGTAAATATCCTATTTTTCTTAAATATAAAGCTGAATTAAAAATTAAGTTCTGAAAAGACAAATACTGAGCATTTATATCTTCTATTCTAATGCTTGCCTTGGTGCTGTCATAAAATATTCAAATGACAAGTTGGTATCATTTGTCCATCAGGCTTTTATTGAGCACAGGAAATTTCAAAATTTTCGGCCTTTTACTTCATTAGTACACAATGTTGGGGGGTTTACTCAGAAGCTAAACTTTTAAAATGGATGTTTCAATCCCTGTTATCACCCAGTAGTTAGAATTAAGTTCTGTACTGCATGATACTGAGAGATTCAGCCCTGTGTGAAGAGAGGCCTTTCCCCAGCAAGGCAGCCCAAAGCTCCTCTCCTTGCTCTGTTTTCCCTGGTGTTAAATGCACAGCACCTTCTAGGGACACTGTGGGTTGGGACCTGCTCTGCCATGAATGCAATTCTAGAACAGTCACAGAACT